GAGCAGGGAGCCCAATGTGGGACTCGATCCCGGGACTCCAGGATCATGACCTGAGCCGAAGGCAGTTGCTTAACCAACTGAGCCACCCAGGCGCCCAGAATATCACATTCTTATTCTACCATGTCATATCCTCTTACCCTGCTTTATTTTTTGATTCTCACAATCACTGCTGTTTATATATCTTGTCCATTGTCTGAATCCCCCAGCAGGATGTAAACTCCATGAGGGCAGGGAATTTTTGTCTGTTTTGTCCTCTGATGTAGACCCAGGATCCAGAGCAGTGCCTGGCACAGTGTATCCACTCAATAGTTGTTGAAGGAATGAATGAAAGGTAAAATCAGTAAATATCTATCAAATTTAGACTTACAGAGTTGTATTTTTTAGATAAACAAGAACAGAAATATTCATGTTTAACTCAAGTAAACTTGAAGAACTTGCTGTTAGTTGAAAGCAGACTTATTGCTACTTAAGTGCCCACACCATATTACAGTTACTTGGCAGAGGGCCACAACTTATAGGATAGATTTTTTTTGAAAGGTGAATTGGTAGCTGAGAATGATAAAGAAGTCATAAAGTAACAGCTTCAGCCACACCTCCACAATTTCCACAAAGGCTTATTTAAAAGTTTGTATCAGTGCCCACCATGGTCTAGTATGTGGTAAGACTTAGTTCACCTTCACAACTTTTCTGGTTTTCCACATTTTCCAAGTTTTTTTGTATAAATAGACATTATTTTTGAAGTCAGAAAAAATGTTTTATTGTATTTTATAACTTTTGGAGAAAAGAAGAAAGTCCCACTGATTATTTTAAATGACAAATGAATGAATGAATCAATAAACAAATTAAGCATCTAGATTTTAAGCTCCTCAAGGTCAGGGCCTTACTTAAGTTAATCTCTAATTTCCCACACAGTGCCTTGCTCACAGTGGACATTTAATAAATATTTGTTGAACTGTATACATAGCAATTGTGTCATTTCTTTCTCTTTCTTTCTTTCTTTTGTATATTTAACAGGGATCTGTTTATATCTACACTCATCATGAGAAGCCAACCTTTGATAAAGTCCTAGAGGCTTGTGATGGGAAATTTCAAGCAATTGACTTTATCCCACCCGGAAATGAATACTGCATGGTAAGGAATACTTTATTATCTCACAGTAGGATTTAAAGAAAAGATTTTGGAAGATCATGTGCAACCTTACACAAATAGGAGGCAGAGGGTATTCTTGAGGATGTGGAAGAAATGCCAACCACTTCCCTCACCAGATCTACTCCCCAGTTAGAATGACATCATTGTATTGTGACTTCATAATATTAAGTGTCTGAAAACAGTCAAAACAATTGAAATCTTAGGAGCCATCCTGTTTATACTCACCATCCAAGTTTTCCAAGCCAGATCTTTCAACACATTCATTGCTAAAGAGTTATCAAAACTCATTAAACAATTAGTGTTAACCCTCTTTCAGAGTGGTACAGACCCTCTGAGGATGAAAATGAAATACTGGCCATGCTCAAAACATGAATTCAATCTACTTAGGAAAAATAATCCACCTGCTACGTTCAAAAAGGAAACTTTTTTCCTGGTGTTTAACTGCTTACCTTTATTGGTCTCAAGAAACATTTCATTTTTTATATGATTCATCAATAAATCCATTAAGATTTTGGGAGTCCTAGCAAAATATGTACAAGAGCTATATGAGAAAAGTTTCAAAACTGATGAAAGAAATCAAGATCTAAATAAATAAATATTGCATGTACTTTGCCACAGAAAATATACAGATGGCAAATAAGTATATTAAAAGATATTCAATATTGGGGCGCCTGGGTGGCTCAGTCGTTAAGCGTCTGCCTTCGGCTCAGGTCATGATCCCAGGGTCCTTGGATCGAGCCCCGCATCGGGCTCCCTGCTTGGTGGGAAGCCTGCTTCTCCCTCTCCCACTCCCCCTGCTTGTGTTCCTGCTCTCCCTATCTCTCTCTCTCTCTCTCTTTCTCTCTGTTAAATAAATAAATAAATAAATCTAAAAAAAAAAAAAGATATTCAGTATTATTCACCATTAGAGAATTGCAAATGAAAACAATGAGATGACACCACACATGTATTAGAATGTCTAAAATCTAAAACAATATCAAGTGCTGGCAAGGATATGAAGCAACAGAAAAATTCATTGCCTGTAGGAATCAAAATGCTACAGCCACTTTGGAAGTTTGGCAGTTTCTCACAAAACTAAACATACTCTTACCTTATGATTCAGCAGTTGAGCTTCTTGTTATTTACTTAAATTAACTGAAAACCTATGCCCACACAAAAACCTTCACATTAATGTTTATAGCACCTTTATTCATAATTGCCAAAACTCGGAAGTAACCAAGATGTCTTTCAATAGGTAAATGGGTAAACAAACTGTGGCATATCAATACAATGGGATATTATTCAGTACTAAGAATAAATGAGCTATTAAGCTATGAAAAGACATAGAATAGCCTTAAATGTATAACATTAAACAAAAGAAGCCAATTTGAGAAAGATGTGTGATTTCCTCTATATGACATTCTGGAAAGTGTGCTCAGCTCAGGTCTTGATATCAGGGTCTTGAATTCAAGCCCCGTGCCTTTTTTTTTTTTTTTTTAAGCAAAGTCTGTTAGTTAAAAAAAAACAAACATAATTTCCTATTTCTAGCTTTATTCTTTAAGCAATAATCCTGTTGAATGTCCAAGTAACTCAATTATGTTACATGGAAAAACATTTATTTCACTTTTCTAATCTTAGTTATTATATGTTACTTAAATTGTATTAAAGATAATAGTTAAGAAAAGATTATAGTTAATTTTTGTTCAAATCAGAAGTACTGATGTTGTGATTGTCATTATAATCCATATGAGTAAAATGAAATTTTATACGAAATCATCCGAATTATTGACATATTATAAAGGGATTTAGAACATGCTTGCATAACAGAGTCTTATTTTCCATTTAGAGTTTTCTTTTTCTTTTTTTTTCTTTTTTTTTCTTTTTTTTTATAGACACTCACACATTCAGGGGAAGTTTGTGTTTGGTATATAGAAGATGGTACTTGTGCCAGCAGGATTTATCTGAATACCCCAGTAAGTGTGCCTTATAAATGGATTAAATATTGAATTCTAATCCAATCTATGTTTTCATAATTACATGTCAATAGTCTGTGGAAATACTTGTTGCAGATGCCTTATTGCATTTCTTACCCTATATATTTAGAATAATTCTTCTGTATAAAATATATTCTACAGCCCAGAGGGTGGAACATAAGGTACTAAATTGGTGTATAGGAAAGTTTTTCTGAGGTGGCAGTTATTTCCAAAGTCCTAGTGGTTTATATCTCACTCGTACTATAAGTTCCTTGTGGATTGGCAGGGTCTCTGCTCCACAGAGGCCCTCTCTCAGGAAGCCAGACTGAGGGAGGGTTCACCAACTAATAGCTCCTCAGTGCCATAGTATGGGAAGGGAGTGCCAGAGAGTCTTGAACTAGCAATTAGTTGCTTTTACTCAGAAATGAATCCCCCCCTTGGCCATAACTAGTTAAATGGCCCCATCTAACCTCAAGGTTAGAAATGAAAGAAAATTCCCACTCTAACCAACTTGAGCCAAAAATAAAAAAGTGGGGGTTATTGGCTTAATCAACTATAAAGTATAGGACTTGTCTGGCCTCAGATGTAGCTCAGTCCAGCAACTCAAATGATATTACCAAGGACCTTGTTTTTCTCTCTATGTCTATAGTTTCATCTTAGGCTTCTTTTAGTGGTACCCAAATGCCACAGGTGTCAACCTCAGAGGTGTCAGACCATCAGGAAGAAAGCCTCCTCCAATGGGAGGAGGAAGAGAAAAGAAGTTTTTCCTTTCCACGAAGCTAGATGTCTTCTGATGTCTTAATAACATCTCTGAACTAATCACTATGCACAAGGGAATGAGAAATGCCAATTGGCTTAAGCTCAGCCTTGAAAATGAGAGTCAGATCTGTTTCATTGAACCCCCAAAAATGAGAGAGATGGTTTCTCAATGGATATTCAAGGAATTTTCCAGAAGGAAAGTGTTTGGCTATTGGGTGACAAACCACAATTGCTCACAACACTCGCCACAAAGTGATACCATTATTTCTGCCACGTTCATAGTACATTTTACATAAAATAATATTTTAAAACCATAAAAAGACCAATAAACAATGGCAATGCTATTTTCCCCTTATATTATCATCATTTGATATATTACACAGTTCTAGATGAGATATGGATCTTGGATTTTGGTAGTAGGTAGGGAAGTTACAGTCCTTCCCCGTTATAAAATTAAAATCTCAATTATAAAACAAGAGGAAGCGTCATACCTCACATAAGAAAATTATAAGACACAAAAGATGCACAATTCAATGGGATATATAAAACTCACCCTGACAAGTAAACATAAAAATTCTTACCTAAAACACTGAAATATGAATAGACTGCACTCTGGTGACAAGAGCTCATATGTGTTCATTTCTATTAGAACTACTAGAGCTAGAAGAGATCTTAAAGCTCATCTGATCACATCTCCTTTCACAGACGAGAGACATACAAATGGTTAACAACCCACCCAAGAGTCTATAATCAGGACTTAATCTTGCTCTTCTTCGCTAAGGAGAGAGATAGGCACCATGAGAAGGTCTGCTTTCTGCACCAGAGATCTTCCCTTCACCTGAGCAGAGGGAAGAGATTCAGACAGTGTTCACAGTTAATTTGACAAACCATCATTGAGCTCCAAACCAGGCACAGTATACTCATGTGGATCAGCCTGAGTTGGGGATAACTGGTGGTTTTTCCTCACTGGAGAATACTGCTGCATTGTGGGGAATTGATAAGCGCACTGACCCAGCAATGCTGAGGCCAGATCTCCCTGTCTATGCCTGGGACTGTGTTCCGCATGAACATTTTAGGCAATGGTCCTCAGAGAACCTGGCCCAGCACTATGATGGGAGGATATCTGGACACTAGAAGCTTCCCTTGATTACTTGCTAAGGTACATAAGACCCCTCCAGATATTGCTGTCCATGTTTAGCCTAGCCTACTATTGCCCTGGAATGAAGGATAATTTCTTTCTTTTTTTTTCTTTTAAAGATTTTACTTATTTATTTGACAGAGAGAGAGACAGTGAGAGAGGGAACACAAGCAGGGGGGTGTGGGAGAGGGAGAAGCAGGCTTCCCGCAGAGCAGGGAGCCCGATGCAGGGCTCGATCCCAGGACCCTGGGATCATGACCTAAGCTGAAGGCAGATGCTCAATGACTGAGCCACCCAGGCACCCTGGAGGATAATTTCAACAGATTATTTTGGGAACACACACACACACACACACACACACACACTGAGACATCCCATAAAGACTTTCTTTTAAAAAAAGAAAAAAAGAAAGACCCTCACCATTTTGTTTCCAGTTTCACACTGAGCTACCACTGAAGACTCAACCCTTAAAATTCACCTTAAAAAATAAAATAAAAACCTCCTCGGCTAAGCAACTGTGCATTCTAATGAGGCAGGACACCTGAGTTCTCAGCTTCATCATCAGCTATGGGATCCTGAGGCAAATTGCTATTCTTTTCTTCACCTCCATTTTCTATTCTACAAAATGATTATCTCTTAAGCTCTTTTCTATTTCTAGTGTTCTGTGATTTTATTCAAAACAAACTACAAAGTATAATTATAGAGGAATGAAGCTGATTGCTTAAGTGTCATGAAAGCAAATTTATTCTCCTAGACATCGTATTCCGTAAGTGATTGTGAGATGAGCAGGAATTTGTGATGCATGTCTTTGGTTACAGAATACACGGGGTGTGATATGGTTATTTTCTTGTCTTCCCCCATCATACCAGCATCCCAGGATCTACCATTATCCAACAGATGAATGCTGATTTTTAAAAATCACTAACATTCAGTAAAGATGTCCAGAAGATGCTAGGAATGTATTTTAAGTTTGTTTTATTTTTTCATTACTATTGGTATAATCATGTCATCATTTAGGGATAAAAATGAAGCCATGGCTTAAAGCTCAAGAAATCTCTTTATATTTTTATGATTCTAACGTTAGGATAAAAGAATAACATGTAGCGACTCCTGTGACTTATGCTGTCAATTAGCTCAGGAATGCTGCGTGTCTAATTTGTAATACCACATTATACTTGCCACTCCTTGTTCGGATGGCTTTCCAAATAAACTGTAGATTCTTATGCATGGTAAAGCAGGCTTCGTGTTCTGGCACGGTGAAGTTAAGCATCTGGGGTTGTTTTAAACAGGCAACAGTGCTGGCTTGCTCTCCTTCCTCCCTCTCTGTGGCTGTGGGCACCATGGGGGGCTTCATCCACTTCCTCGATGTCAGGGATGCGGAGGCCCCTCAGGCAATTCACAAGGCCTTCCCCTCAGAATGGTCTGTACAGCACCTCCTGTAAGTACTTCCTGCTTCTGGCAGCAACATTGTCAAGGCCTGTCTGTTGAGAATTCCAGTAAAGCCATAATTTATTTTTTTTAAAAGATTTATTTATTCACTTGAGTGGGGGGAGGGGTAGAGGGCGAGGGAGAGAGAATCTTAAGCAGATTCTGTGCTGAGCACAGAGCCCAATGTGGGGCTCAATCGCACAACCCTGAGCCAAAACCAAGAGTGGGACGCTTAACCATCGGTGCCACCCAGATGCCCCAAGCCATAATTCCTTTCAATTTTAAATTTTACATGTTTTGTTTTGAAAATGAATACATTGCCTCAGTTCAGCGTTCCAAAAGGACAGAGGGGGGGGTGCATAGGGAAAAGTCTCCCACTCTTGTCCCCAAACACCCAGTTCTCCTCCCTGGAGACAGCCTATTCCCAATTTCTCATGTATTCTTTCCAGAGATAGTCTATCCATAAATAAGCAAAAAGTAAATATTCCTTTTAATTACACAAATAATTATCAAGCACTTAAAATGTGCTATGTGGGGGCGCCTGCGTGGCTCAGTCGTTAAGCGTCTGCCTTCGGCTCAGGTCATGATCCCAGGGTCCTGGGATTGAGCCCCGCATCGGGCTCCCTGCTCAGCGGGGAGGCTGCTTCTCCCTCTCCCACTCCCCCTGCTTGTGTTCCCTCTCTCACTGTGTTTCTCTCTGTCAAATAAATAAAATCTTAAAAAAAAAAAAAATGTGCTATGTGCTTGATTCTATTAACTTCGTGAGATGGATGCTCTTGTCTCCTCAGGGAGATGAGACACAAAGTGTTTAAGTGACTTGCTTCATGTTACACAGGTAGGAAATGGCAAATGTCAGAAGCAGAACCCAGGCAGTTGGGCTCCAGAGTCACTGCCCTTGCTTTTATTTTTTTTTTCAAGTTTTTATTTAAATGTCTTTGCTTTTAGATAGCAAACCATATACAATGTTCTGTGCCTCTTTTTTTTTTCACTTCATGGTATCTCTTGGACCATGATTTCTATCCACACATAAAGACCTTCCTTATTCTGTTTTATGGCTACATAGTACTCCATTATATGGATATACTATAATTTTTTATTTTAATTCCAGTATTGTTAACATACAGTGTTATATTCGTTTCAGGTGTACACTATAGTGATCAACAATTCTATTATACATTACTCAGTGCTCACCATGCTAAGTGTACTCTTTAATCCCCATCACCTGTTTCACCCTTCCCCCACACATCTCCCCTCTGGTCACCATCAGTTTGTTCTCTATAGTTAAGAGTCTGTTTTTTGGTTTGCCTCTCTCTCTCTCTCTCTCTTTTTCCTTTGCTCATTTGTTTTGTTTCTTAAATTCCACATATGAGTGAAATCATAGGATAATTGTCTTTCTCTGACTGACTTATTTTGTTTAACATTATACTATCTAGCTCCATCCATGTTGTTGCAAATGGCAAGATTTCATTCTTTTTATGACTGAGTAATATTCCATTGCATGGACATACACCACATCGTCTTTATCCACTCATCTATCAATGGCACTTGGGCTGCTTCCATAATTTAGCTATTAGAGATAATGCTGCAGTAAACATAGGGGTGCCTGTATCCCTTTAAATTAGTGTTTTTGTATTTTGGGGGTAAATACCCAATATCCCAGCATTTTTAAAAGATTGTATTGATGGGCGTTTAGATGACTTCACATCTTTTGAAGTAATACTTTTTAGAAGACAGCACAAATACATTGGATTTAGACTCATCTGTTGCTATTATTCTTTCTTTTGTTAATTTGTCATAATAGTATTATCAGAACTGACATTTGTGCCCTGCTTTACAGTTTGAGGTCCTGTCATACACTGTAGCTTATTGAATGTGATCCTCACTACACTGGTCGGAAGGGTATTATGCTTGTCCCTGTTCCACAAATGAGAGAATTCAGGTTCAGAGAGGTGACGAGAGAAGCCTTTCGAGGATTGCTCTAGGATAGCGCCTAGAGGAGCCGGATTTCCACCCACCGCGTTGTTTCCTGCAAGTGGCCCTCTCCCGCTCTGGCAGAAGACCCCTCACCTCCCTCTATCTACACATTTGCCGCCTCCTCTTTCTCAGATCCTCTTATTTTAATTTGTATCTTGCCATTTTTCTAATTTGATGAAGGTGCAGAAACATTTCACTACATTCTTCCTCCCCCCATGAGGCATTAGTACTGCAGAGGGCTGCGATGTTGCACTGATCACTGGTGTGAGGACTGTTTACTTCCCCCAGAAATACCAAGAAGGCTCTGCTATCATATTTCATTCAGTTATGATGAGGATGCTACTGCATCTTCTTGACTGTGCACTTATAAGCTGCAATTTGGAAACAGCATTAACCTAGAATGTCATGATTGCATTTGTATGTCATCACTTGGCTTTTTTTATAAGATGGGATAATATTAAAAGTCAAAAACCGTAAGAATGACTGGTTTTGAGTGTATCTCCATGCTGTCATTCAATAAATTTGTTTACCATCTTATTAGTGAAACAAGTAAAATTGGATCCTCAGATTTCTTGTTTTCTTTCTTTTCTAGTTATGACCAGCGAGGGATATATCTATTAGTTGGAACATCAGAAGGCTATGTCTTTATTATCAATGCCAATCCATCAAGCTTGTTTCAGATCCTTGGATTCGTAGGTACTACATGGAATGCTTATTAATTTAAAATATTGGTCACTTCATTCCAAAAATTTAAGATTGTGGAAATGGGGCTCTAGTGAAACAATTATTTGCAGTATATTTTCTAAAAAAGAGACATTTAAATAACTGCTGTAAGTTACATAGGAGAATTCTACATCATATTTAAAGGGTTTTTGGTACATCTGCTTGGTACACAGTTGATGTTAAATAAACCTTCTGAAATAAATTAATGAATTAATTTAGATATCTCTAATGTTAGACATTATATATAGTGTATATATGCATATTATATACATTATATAATATATGTGTATATTATACACATATATATAATGCTAGATATTTCTAATGTTATTACAAAAGGAGTTTGGTTTATCCTTGAAATATATTTTAAAATATTTTATTTCTATTTAATAAAGATAGCTAAAGAAAGTTTTATTCCATGCATCTTTAATATTTCCTCTTTAAACAAAATGATATCCAGCTTTTTCAGTAATGCCATCCACATGCCCAAGTAAACGACAGACCTGGCAGGTGAAGTAACACTTATATGATAAATAGTAAGAACTAATACTTTTCTTTCTGGCTTAAGGACCAAATATATATGTATATTTTCCCCAAAACATATTTTTAAATTTATTCATTGACTTTTTAAAATTAGTGAGAGACTACTAGGTGTAAAATGCTGAACCTAGGCCAGTGGGGGTATGGCAAGGTCAAGGAGACAATTTAGTGGTGGAGGAATAAGCAGAGTGCTGTGTGGTCTCAGAGGAAGAAGCAATTAATTCTGCCAGGTATGAGGAAAGGAGTGGGGGTAAAGGGGGACACAGATAAGGAGGTGTAGAGGATTGGGGGAGAGTTCTCTGAGGGTGTAAGTCATGGAGGATGGGGCATATTAGTATTCCCGCTCAAGACAAAAGACTGAGCAAAGGCACTTGGAATGGTAGGAAGTCTGGTATAATAGGTAAACAGAAGCGTTTATTAGATGATGATCATGGCAATGAAGTCTGAAAGAAGACGAGGGTCTTGAATATCATTCCAAGGAGTCTGAACTTTTTTCTGTGGGTAATGAGACACCATCAGAAGTTTCCAAGATGATACAGGTATGATTTGACTTGGATTTTAGAGGATGACTCTGCCACAAGTGTGAAGGATAGAGCTGAAAGGCAAGAGAATGGAATAAAAAAGATGAGTTAGGGAATAATTATAGTAGCCCAGGCAAGAGTGATATAATCATAACAACAGCCAACATTTATTGAGGGATTCCTTGCCATGTGATAGTCAGTGTTCTAAGAACTTGGCATGTGTTAATTCATTTAACCCTTACAGACAACTTTTATGAGGTAGAGACTATTACTATCCCAATTTACAGATGAGGCAATTGAGGCACAGTTAAGTACTCATTCAGAGTCATATAGCGTGGTAATGGTGGAGCCAGGACTCGAACTCAGGAAGTCTATCCTCAGGCTTTTGCTCTTATTCACAGTGCAAACACTGTGCAGCAGTCATAGAAAGAGAAAGGAGGGGACAGCTCTGAGTGATGGAGTTGATAGGACTTGGTATTCCATTAAATGTGAAAGGGGAGGATCAGCAATGACTCCAAAATTTCTAGCCTGTGATTTCATCAAATGAAGTAAAAACTTAAGACAAAAGGTTGAGGGATAATGTGAGCTGACGAGCTCTGTAGAGCTGAAGCTAATAAGCTCTTTAGTGGGGGATATTTAGCTAATGTTTGGAAATGGAGATTTGTAGTTCAAGTCTCAATGATAGAATTCTGATCTTGAAATTATGGAAGCTGATGAGATGGCTTAAGAAAACAGAGTAAAAGCAAATCCAATTGCTTAATGAGACCAAACAGGTAAGCTAAATATGTAAATGTGAACGCATGGAGCATGGTAGGACCTATGGCTTACCTCAGAGTGTATGTACATCCTGCCTAAATATTCCATTTTTTAATATATCTGGTCAGTCAGAGTGTGGGATGGGAAAAGCAACTTCCAGTTAAGTTATGGACCAAGGAAGATGGCGCAGTGAAGCAAACAGGACAGGCCAGAGTAATGAGAGCACTGGGAGTCGCCCGCTCCAGAAAGACCTTGAGGGAGGAAGCTGGCTGAGGGTGTGGACTGGCACGAACTCAAGTGCAATGAGGGCTAGGCAGTCAGAAAGTGAAGTCAGTAAGTAGCAACTCCTGTTTTAAGGAGTTTGCAGCAGAGAAAAGAGAATTGGCATAGATGGCAACCATGGTGGGGAAGCAGGTTGTAGCAAGGGCTCAATTTGAAGACCGGGGAGTCTTGAGAGCTGAATAGAAGAAATCATAAAAGACACAAGAAGATAAAATGAGGTCCTTGAGAGCACATGGTCTAATAGGAGATTAGTGGCATGAGTTCAATATCAGAAATGTGAAGGATTGCATTTTGTTCATACAAAAATGCCTTCTGGATAAGAACATTGAGATCCACTTTGTATCAGATGTCTTTGGTCTTCTTTGTTATGTCAGAGGAAAGATCATCAGCTGAATATCTGAGGGGAGAGGCTGATAAAGTGGACACATATAGAACAGCTCCTGTGGAAAGGGGGAGTAGTGACTCTGGAAAGAACCGAAGATGTGCCCCAGGCATGGCACCTTCCAGAGGCCCGATTTCCAGAGGAGCAAACTCATCACGTCATGGGCATTTCCACCACCCCTGCAATACCTTGGCTATAGATGCAAAGAACACTGATGCCTGAGTTGATCCAATATCAGGAGTGGATGAACAGGCCACAGTGGAGCATCAAGGGGCTGGAGCATGGAGGTGCTGTTGAGGTGAAGATGGCATACTCCAGAGGCTTCCCTGACAAGGAAAGGAGCTGAGCCCCACTGAGCGGGCTTGAATCTGCCAACCCAGATATCTAATCACGACAGTTCCTCATCATTCATCAAAAATGTCCCCATCACTTATATTTAAAGATTACTTTAAATATGCAGTAAATAAATTGAAATCTAAAGATTTAGTGAAGGCAATTCTATAACATGGTATCTTACTTGGGAAGATAAAAGATTCTTTAAACTTATGAATGACCACTTATGATGATTTCCGTTTGCTTTCAGAGGTGGGCAAAGACATTTTACAAATATCCACAGTGTCTCTTTTGGAAACAGACATAGTAGAAGTGATCGTGCTTTCCCCACTTCCAGAAACAGGAAGAAGCAGATTGGAAATATTTACTCTGCCTAAAATACTACCACAAGGTAAAGAAAAATCAAGCAACCAATTCTGTGCTGGGCCCAGATGAGTAGCTGCTTAGCTTTCTTTCTTTTTTTTTTCCCCCTAGTGATTGCATTTTTTTTCCTCTTAGCCTGTGAAGAGGTAAAATGGCCATCTTTTGTGCATCTTACAAAGTAAAACTGATGTAGCTGCTAACCAATGTGATATGTGGACTTTCCTCTGGGCCTTGTCATTCATATGAACCTATCTTATTACAAGAGAAGAGAAACAGGGTCAACTGGCACTTTTGTCAGATTGATTTGTCATTTTGTGATATCTCTTGTTTTGTAGCTTCAAATATACATGGTTAACTTCAGACAGGTTACTGTGTAGTTACTTTCACTGACAGAATTGTAAAGAAAGCTTTTTGGATAAAGAGGTCTGATAAAATAGACACTCTTTGTTTTAGATAACAAATATATTTGGGTAGCTAGTTTGCAAATACATAATTACGGAGCATAAGAGAGCTGAAAAACCTCAAAGTACTCTTGTGTCTTAAGAATCTCTAGACCATCATGAGTATCTTTTAATATGCCTCTACTTAATTGATTAAATTAGCCAAGACCTTATAAAGGATATTTTACGCACTATCAGTCATTTAATACTCAAGTAGTTCTAATGAACTTCTAATGAAGTTGTTTTGAATCATTTTTATCCTCTCAATAGCCTCTGCATTATTAATTGAGCATTTAAATTTTTATTTAAATTTTCATAGTTATTCATTATGATTAAAAAATAAAATCAACATACAGTGAAAATGATCTCTCTTCTTCCCCAAATCTTATAGTTTCTGCGAGCTTTATTGATGAAAGAGGGAGGCTGAAAGATGCACTCATTCACAGGTTCCGGTATGAGATAGAACACAGCCTGTCTTCTGCCGTGCTGGACTTTCAAAGTCACCAAATATATGGCTTCTGTAACCAAGTGCCATATATCTGCAGCTACCTTCTTCCTGAACAAGTATGCCAAAACTTAAGCGTGCTATTATTTATCTTAGAAGTCAAGATTGATACATTGTATTAATTAGACACAATCCATGCTTTAACATTATAGTCCAGTTAACAATGGCTTTAGTATAGTAACATAATATTCTTGAATTAGATACATTATTAGCATTATTTGTTAATCCATCATACATACCTTTGAGCACTGTCATACTTGTGCTACATACATCCTGCTTGTCAGATAAACATGCAGATAACACAATTATTTTAGTGCCTTTAAAAACAACATAGCCATGGAACATCTATTCCACAGGTATTAGGTGTCAATGGTTTTCCATGGAACTTTGCACCTGAGCCACATGCAAAATTGCACAAAATAGATAAACTATGTTTCTGCCATCCTTGCATTACACTCATTTCAAGCATCTGTCATATAATACCACTCCTGCTACACACACTGGCCCAGATTATCTACCACCCTCCCTTCTAAACCTACCTCTTCCAGGGCAGCCAATGTCAGCAAGGTATGAGACATAGAAATTCCAAGAAAGAGAAATGTTTGTGGCAAGGAGAATTCAAGGAAAGCTTCACGGAGGATGTAACTGGCTTTTGAAGAATAGGTCAGACTTAGACATGGAGAAATATTGTGTACAATCTTGGCAGGGAGTGGGAGTTGCTGAGGTAGAGAGGGGACAGGTTGGTGGGAATGGAGTGGGGAAGGGCATTCCAGACAAAATTCACGGCATGTGTAGGGGCTTGGAGGTGGAAGTACATGAGGGAATACTGACTCATTCAACTGGACTTGAGCATGGGGGTATGTGAAAAGAATTAGTAAAAAATAAAGGCTGTCAGGGACACCTGGGTGGCTCAGTCAGTTAATCATCTGCCTTCGGCTCAGGTCATAATCGGAGCGGGGGTGGGGGATGGTCCTGGGATCAAGCCCCATGTCGGGCTCCCTGCTCAGTGGGGAGTCTGCTTCTCCCACTCAATACTCTGCCCCTCCCCCCTGCTCATGCATGTGTGTGCTGTCTTTCAAATAAATACAAAAAATCTTTTTTTAAAAAATAAAGATTGTTGGTGCAGGCTGGGATCTTTAATGGTAGCTAATGTATAAAGACTTCTCTTGGTTGGTTAGAACAAACTTTAATTTGCAAACAGAGATGAAAATGTGGTGCAAGAAATGTGGTGTATCGGTTTATTTACATCGACAGTGTTTGCAGATTTGAATCTGACCATATATGCACAAGTGCAAGCTCTAAGGTGCTGCTCCCCTGATCTTTTCTATAATGGGGTCATGTTCTTTGATTGGCAGGAACACAGTGGTATTTGCATTCTTAAGCCATACCAAAAAGTGCAAAGCAAACACTATGGACCCGGAATGCTCACTCTGTCTCCACATGGGCTGTGGCTCATAACAATAGCTAAAGGTGGAATTTTGTGTATCCGAGATGTTCATACTTTGGTAAGCTACTCTTTTTTTTTTTTTTTTTTTTTTAATCTTGGGATGTATATCTTGATCTCATATAAGGAAAAAAAGCCCTAGGGAAGTAATTGGGCTTCTTTCTTAGGTAAATTAATTCATAACTTATTTACCACTGATGGTAGTATTGACTTAAACATTTTATAGGCGTTTTTATATACTGAGGTTTGAGTTTCCAAGGGAGGAAACACCAACCAGTAGACAGAGATCTGCCAATAAAGAGCATGGGACAGGGATACTGCAGGTGAGCTGCAGCCCAGCTCCATCACCACTTAGTTGCGTGTCTTGGAGACTCACTGAGCTTCACTGAGCTTCAGATGCTCATCTGTAATATTGGGGGAACCTTTCATGCTCTCAACCTGTGGGATTCTGATGAGAGCCAGGGAGAGGGTATATGCAAAACTGCTTTGGAAATAGTGAATTGCTGTGTAAACCTAGGGATTATTACTCCCGTCTCCCTGGCCTGGAGCGACTCTGAGCTGGTTGCTGCTTCCCCTTCTCCCCCACCCAGTTCTTCAAGTGATGCTGGAAGAGCATAAGGGAGAGAGTGTGGCCCTTACTGAGTCCTCCCTCATCACTTGTGGACCTCAACATCACCAATACTGCTACCATTCCTGATTTCCATTGAGAAAGTGAAAATAGTTTCTTCTCCCCCAACTGTGGAGGATCCTTTTCTAGGTTTTGAGACCCAGTTGAACTGGTTATCGGTATACTTTAATGAGGCCAGTGATTCTTACCCAGGGTTCTACCCCACACACCTGAAGCCTTGCAACCACCTACATGACATACTCCTGCAGGTCCACAGATAAACTGGGCCCTGGTGTGTACATCTGGCTCTCCTTGTTCATCTGTGTAAGAAACCATATTTGGACTACAACTGAGCAAAACTGATACTATTATTATACAGGAAAAATCTTGAATCCCTTAGAGATTATTTTGAAGTTGACAATTTGCAAACTTTGCTACATTTTCTCTTATTCAAATGATTTATAAAGATGCCACTGCTGATGGTGGCATGACGTGGCAAGGCATCAAAGTTCTTCTGGGTGATTCTAAGCAAAGCACCTCATATATGAGGTTATTCATGCAGCAGTCTTTGTAAAAGCAACCTAATGATCATCAGTGGAGGACTGGATAAATAGATAATGCTGTATGAACAAGACATAAAGAAAAAATGGAATCTTATGCAGAATGAGAAAATACTTATGCCACAATATGCAAAGAACCTCAAGATCTAATTTTAAGAAGGAAAAGCAAGGTGCATAATATATTATGCTACAATTTATGTTTAAAATTATGTCTGCATAAAAATTTGTTCATATACATTTAAAAGCCTCTGACAGGATGTTAAAAGTATTAATTACATTGACTGGCTTTGGGAGGTGGCTGGGGAATGGAGACAGGAAGGAGATTTCACTGCATACTCTTATAGTTTTTGAATCTTGAACCATTTGAATGTATTGCCTATTCAGAAAGTTAAATTAAAAAAAATCATGGTTGAGAACCAGTGTGACACAGAAATCCCAGTTTTTAGTCAAGGAACTTAAACTGTTGCCCTGTGTAACAAATCAGTGATGTGTTTTGTTTGGGTTCTACTTGAAATGGTTTAGCATGCTTCATCTGGGACATGTTACCCTCCATTCTTCACAGTGCCTACTACCTTTTCTCAACCACTCATCACACATAGATGAAACCTACCTGACCCTTGAAGGCATCTGAATCTGCCATTTCTGCTCGCTCAAGGCCCGTCCCCTAACTCTGTAGCCTTTAGCAAGTTGCTTCTGTGTGTTTGGCTTTCCTATTACAGATTGGTGATAACAGTCCCTCTCCTTCCATTCTTCACAAATGAGAAAATAAACCAGTATTGGTGAGTGTGTTTTGAACTAGGGATTTTCACTACTATGTATTACTAAAATGCTACTTCCATGCCAAATAAAATGCTGTTAACAAATACAAAACGATTTAGCAACAAGCAAAAGTGCATGTGACCCTCTTAGAAAAACCATGTGGTAGAATTGCATTTGTAATTTCTGCGCTTTGTTCCTAAAACTGTTGAGGAAACGTTTGTTCGAAGTCGGAGTCATTCTCACCAGGGGCATGGGATTCAATCAGTGAGAATTTCAATGGATGGACAAAACATTCTGGTGAATGGGAGAGATGATGGCACCCTTGTTTACCTAAGATGGAGGTATGTACAGTGTACAGTAGGCAACTTCATGTGGTATAGTATTTTTAAAATAAAGATTTTGTTACTATTTACACAGAGCAAGGCCACCGTAACAGGAGACAACTGCCATTGAAAAAATTATTATACTCACAGATCCCAAGAGAAGGAGGTTTGCCAAGCTCTGTGCCAGGGCCACATGGGAAAGCACCTAGGTGGGGAAGGAGGCAGAGGGAACACAGGAAACGTGGGCAAAAGCCTTGTTTTGGTTTCCATGGGAAGGAGCAGGCAGGTTTAGCATTGGCTAGTTTGGATCATGTCAGCAGGTTCTGGGGCATAGATGCTGGCCTCGGTTGTCTGGCACTTGGCCCAGGGGTGATTAAAGCAGGGAAATAGTAGCCCTGAGTTGGAGGTGTGGGCTCTGGATTGATTGGTTTGCATTTAAGAGGTGGCTCCAGGGTGAGTGGTTTCCTATCTGTAGCAATTGGCGGGTCTTGGAAGGGGCAGTCCCTCCAGCGTCAGCAAGACCCCAGATGTCAAAGCACCAAAATACAAAAAATAACAAGACATAGTTAGTACATATGAAATGATCAGTCCTCCCTTTCATAACACCTGTTGGAGGAGTACAAGGAATGAGGACAATCCTGAAGAGTAGATAATTTTTTAAACTCCTATTCATCCCTTAAAAACCTGACATAGATTTGTATGCATGTGCACAAACATGTAGATATACTTCCCTAGTTAGACTTTGCTTAGACAATATTAAATTATTTAGACTTTGCTTAGATTAAATTAAAATTCTAAATAAAATACTACTCAAGCATGTAAATGATGACCAAAGCATAGAGAGCCTGAAGGTGATAGCCTCGACTTTATATGTTGCGTTGTTTGGCCTGTCAATGGATATCATTAGTTAGTGTGCAATTTATTTCTGCAAAAAAATATCTTGTGGTGCTTTCTGTGATTAAAACAATAACAAAACATGGACTTTCCCAGTGACACTGTGAAAATGTTAAATATTTGTAAATATTAAATAAATGTAAATGGAGATTTTATGTCATAACAGTTCTGGTAGTCATTTATATTAGAGACTCATTTGAACACTGCATCATCATGCCCATTTTATGCAGGGAATCTAAGTAAAATACTAACTTGTATCTCATATATAAGTCCTGACACATCCTGTACAGTAAATGAACAAACAGCATCTCCGGCAACAGTGAACGAGTGCTGGAGCCCTCTGTATAGAAGTAAGGACATTTCCATCCATGGGTAGTTAATCACGTGGACTTCTGACTCAAAACAAAGTTGAGTTTGAAACCATGGTCCAGGACTTACTAATTTGTGACCTTAGGCACATAACAATACCCTCTCTAAATCATCTATAACAGTGTTTGTTACTCAAGGTGGGGTCTGCAGCAACCATAAGCTTGTTAGAAATGCTTATTTTTGGTTCTTACCCAAAGTTTCTGAATCAAAATCTCTGTGGGTGGGGCCCAGGAATCTGTTTTTAACAAACCCTCATCCATGCAATGCTGATGTGCCTAAAGTTTGAGATGCCCTGGTATATTGCATGGAAGTAATGCTTCCCTCAATGGTGGGTGGGGGTGATGAGGACCAAATATGACAGTGTGATTATGTATGTGAAGCAGTGCAATGCCTAGTACATTCTAAGGCTCCACTGGAACAGTGGCTCTTCTGTGCAGTGGCCAAGGTTGGTCAGAGAACGTGTCGGGTAAGGATCCAGGGACAGTGTGAGAAGAGGTCACCTCAGAGAGGTCAAGAGGACTGTCATGTCCGGGAGCCTATGAAAGGGCTCACTCTAAGAAGTAGAGTACTAATAACTACAGGGCACTGTGGAGAATTAACCCCATATTTCTTTGTGTAGAAACGGTTAGGTATCCGGAAATAATGCTGTTAAAATGTGACCTTTTTAAATTGTGATTTTGTAGTCGGTTTCTTTTCCTTTTTATTAATATAGGCGGCTTGGAGGAAACCTAGCCAGTGAAATGATCCATTATTGCCAGAAACTTTTAATTTCTCTGAGCAACACCATGGATGAGGAGAATGATTATTTAAGTATACAACAAGGAGAGTCCTTGAATTTGGAATCAAAATCTGAACACACAGTTGAGTTCCAATATATCGCTTGTCCTTCCTTCCTTCCTTCCCCTCTTCCCCCACCCACTCTCTCTTCCTTTCTAAATCAGATATCAGTTTTCAGTAGGAAGGAGGAATGGATGGTGTAGAAAGGCAATGGGATTTTTTTTAAGTGTAAAGACCCCAAAAGGAGGAAAAGATTGAGATTCTAAGTACAAATTTACTTTGGGCTGGGCTTGATAGGCAGGAGCATGTGGTCCACAATGACAGGAAGGAGGCAAAGAGTGATTTGGTGAATGTGTGACCTGTCTGATCATTTTTGCTTTCTCAGTGAAAAGTGTGGCTGATATAAGGACAGACTGGTAGGAATTAAATTAATAAAATATTACATCTTGGGCAGGCAAAATTTTTGGTATTATTTTAAAAATGCAACAAGTGCAAAGAGATCCAAAGCAATTATATGAAGTTGAGTGGGAGGAAAAGAATTTTAATTTTAAGAAATATCTGTCTTCTTCTAAGATGAATGAGAATATGAAGCCAAGCATTGATTCATCACAAGAGGAATTAGTCCAAGTTGACAATTTAAAGGAAATTCCCTGGATACAACAAAAAAGCCAAGAGGTATTTATAAAACATGGAAGAGGTTTGAAATAATGCTCTGTAAGTGTGCCAAATAGATTAGTTTCCTATGAAAACCCATTGGAAAGTTAGAAAGTAGAATGAGATACTACTTGGCAGAGGATTACATCATACAAGTGTAACTTCCCTGAAAGCAAACACCCTAATCTAGCCCAACCTTTTAGATGAAGGTGTTAGCTTTAGGAACAGTAAGTACTTAAGCTAATATGAAACAGAACAAACCTGTCTAGGGGAAGCCAAAGTGAAGAATAATCAGATACTTCATGTTGGGGTGAATGTTGGAGGATGCTGCAAAGTTGATTTAAAGAAAATGGGTGGGCCAGGAAAAGGAGAAAAGGACATGATGGCTTCAGATGTGCAGGAAGGTGACAGCTAGCAGCTTGTGTCTGGATTTAGCTTGTTAGTCTCACTCAAGTTCCCAGTAAAATAGCAGACTAGTTCCTTTGTCAGCTATTCTCTATTTAATTTTTTTACTATTTATCTTCTTTCCGTTGGCCTTCTAAATGACATCAGTTGCAAGTTGCTTCGAGGGTCACTTACATAGCAGCAGGGGACTTCAGCAAGGCACTGCAGTGGTGGTATTTCATGTACACTTCGTATTATTAGTCTTTACAAAAATTGTTTCCAGAGAAGTGCTACCTATGTATCTCTGTACCCCTGTATGCATGTATCTACCTCTCTATCATATAACTATCATTTCTCTTGCCTGTTTAAGTGATATACTTGTTCCATTTCAGGCCATCAAAAATGAGGTTAAACTGTTTTCCAAGAAAAGGAAAGAGATAAAAACAGGAATCAAAGCACTTGCTAAAACTGTAAGTGTTGTGATTTCATAAATGAATACACTGGCCTCAGTCTAAAATTCCTTTTTGAGCTTTATTTTATCCAATACAGCATGAGGAGCTGTACCCATTTTTCCCTCTGCCAGTAAGGTCGGTTTTCTGAGGTGCTGTAACATGGTGGAATTTTTACCATATCACACTATATATAAACACTGGTTTTCTTCTCAGTCTTTCTGAAACACTGGGTCTTACTTTTTTTTAATATTTTATTTTTATCAAAGTTATATGTTTACAGTTTTACAATTTAAATAATGAGTTATATAATTAAAAATAATGTTTTTAAAGCGACACCTGCCCTACTTTTCTTCACTATGATTCCTGTACTCCCGAGGCAAATGTTTTCAATTCTTTCAGCTTTTTTGTTTGGATATTTTACCTCTGTCTTTCCAAATGGTCTTTTTTTTTTTTTTTAAGATTTTATTTATTTATTTGAGAGAGAGAATGAGAGAGAGAGCATGAGAGGGGGGAGGGTGAGAGGGAGAAGCAGGCTTCCCGCAGAGCAGGGAGCCCGATGCAGGGCTCGATCCCAGGACCCTGGGATCATGACCTAAGCTGAAGGCAGATGCTCAATGACTGAGCCACCCAGGCACCCTGGAGGATAATTTCAACAGATTATTTTGGGAACACACACACACACACACACACACACACACTGAGACATCCCATAAAGACTTTCTTTTAAAAAAAGAAAAAAAGAAAGACCCTCACCATTTTGTTTCCAGTTTCACACTGAGCTACCACTGAAGACTCAACCCTTAAAATTCACCTTAAAAAATAAAATAAAAACCTCCTCGGCTAAGCAACTGTGCATTCTAATGAGGCAGGACACCTGAGTTCTCAGCTTCATCATCAGCTATGGGATCCTGAGGCAAATTGCTATTCTTTTCTTCACCTCCATTTTCTATTCTACAAAATGATTATCTCTTAAGCTCTTTTCTATTTCTAGTGTTCTGTGATTTTATTCAAAACAAACTACAAAGTATAATTATAGAGGAATGAAGCTGATTGCTTAAGTGTCATGAAAGCAAATTTATTCTCCTAGACATCGTATTCCGTAAGTGATTGTGAGATGAGCAGGAATTTGTGATGCATGTCTTTGGTTACAGAATACACGGGGTGTGATATGGTTATTTTCTTGTCTTCCCCCATCATACCAGCATCCCAGGATCTACCATTATCCAACAGATGAATGCTGATTTTTAAAAATCACTAACATTCAGTAAAGATGTCCAGAAGATGCTAGGAATGTATTTTAAGTTTGTTTTATTTTTTCATTACTATTGGTATAATCATGTCATCATTTAGGGATAAAAATGAAGCCATGGCTTAAAGCTCAAGAAATCTCTTTATATTTTTATGATTCTAACGTTAGGATAAAAGAATAACATGTAGCGACTCCTGTGACTTATGCTGTCAATTAGCTCAGGAATGCTGCGTGTCTAATTTGTAATACCACATTATACTTGCCACTCCTTGTTCGGATGGCTTTCCAAATAAACTGTAGATTCTTATGCATGGTAAAGCAGGCTTCGTGTTCTGGCACGGTGAAGTTAAGCATCTGGGGTTGTTTTAAACAGGCAACAGTGCTGGCTTGCTCTCCTTCCTCCCTCTCTGTGGCTGTGGGCACCATGGGGGGCTTCATCCACTTCCTCGATGTCAGGGATGCGGAGGCCCCTCAGGCAATTCACAAGGCCTTCCCCTCAGAATGGTCTGTACAGCACCTCCTGTAAGTACTTCCTGCTTCTGGCAGCAACATTGTCAAGGCCTGTCTGTTGAGAATTCCAGTAAAGCCATAATTTATTTTTTTTAAAAGATTTATTTATTCACTTGAGTGGGGGGAGGGGTAGAGGGCGAGGGAGAGAGAATCTTAAGCAGATTCTGTGCTGAGCACAGAGCCCAATGTGGGGCTCAATCGCACAACCCTGAGCCAAAACCAAGAGTGGGACGCTTAACCATCGGTGCCACCCAGATGCCCCAAGCCATAATTCCTTTCAATTTTAAATTTTACATGTTTTGTTTTGAAAATGAATACATTGCCTCAGTTCAGCGTTCCAAAAGGACAGAGGGGGGGGTGCATAGGGAAAAGTCTCCCACTCTTGTCCCCAAACACCCAGTTCTCCTCCCTGGAGACAGCCTATTCCCAATTTCTCATGTATTCTTTCCAGAGATAGTCTATCCATAAATAAGCAAAAAGTAAATATTCCTTTTAATTACACAAATAATTATCAAGCACTTAAAATGTGCTATGTGGGGGCGCCTGCGTGGCTCAGTCGTTAAGCGTCTGCCTTCGGCTCAGGTCATGATCCCAGGGTCCTGGGATTGAGCCCCGCATCGGGCTCCCTGCTCAGCGGGGAGGCTGCTTCTCCCTCTCCCACTCCCCCTGC